ACTGGGAAGGACCTTACCGCGTCCACGGCACCACGGGTACCGGGGCGTACTACCTCGAGCAGTTAGATGGAGAGCCATTACCACGACCCTGGAATGCTGCTAAGCTAAAGCAGTATTACAGTTAGAAACTGTCAACACCTGGGACCCTCGACCAGCAGCACCCGCGCTCGGTCAACGAGGAAAAACGTCCAATTTCGTATAAGGCTAAGGTACAAGCCCGACGTACGACCAAAATAGCACAGCATCGCGCGGTAAACGATGACGATCGATAGTGCCCGACGTGGACAGCTGTACCGAGCCCCACCGTCGTTGTACCCATAAGGCAGAACACCCAGCTCGCGATGGGCAGTTCACGCCAAGGGCGAATCGTCCCTAACGGGCTCCACGCCCGACTGAGCAACCTCGCTCCGAAATGCCCGACATTCCATCAAGAATAACGGGCCATCTACAAGGGTCAAAAGAAAATCTCTCCCCTCGAGCGCAACACTTAGGTGGTTCTGGCCAATCGAAAGAGGGTCGGGAACAAATACAAACGGAGTCGAGCATATTCGCTCGCCAAATCAAAGCCACTTACGGGCACTCCTCGGGCCCGTGGCTTAGGCTAAATTCATGCAAGCATATGATTTCAAACAAGGGCAAAAATCCAAAATGTAAAACAACATTGATATAAATGCCCGAAGGCGACAAAACAATAGTAAACCGACCAAGAAGGCCGGCGATGTTCATAACATACAATAAACGGGCACGCAGGCCCAAAGAATACAAATATCAATGGCACGCAGGCCCACTATCCTACTCAGACTTCCACGGAATCATCATTGCCGGCGTTCGGAGAGTCGGGTGGAGGAACGATCACGCCATCTACAATCTGGTGTGTGTGACCGATACCCTCAGTGACCAGGCCAGGATTTAGCAAGGAGAGTTGATCGACTGCAGAATTGAACCCGTCCTCCAGGGCACCGACGCAGTCCACCTCGAGGAGCCGGATGTGGGCGACCAGCTCCATCCGACTCTTCAAAGCTACTATGTCCTCGGGCTCATCTTCGGCAGGTTGCAAGGCGGCATTCATTTCCTCGACCTGTTTACCCAAGCGTTCGACTTCGGCCGCCAGGCGATCCCTGTCTGCCCGAAGAAGCTCCCCTTCCTCAGTCAACTTCCCCGACTTCTCCTTCTCCAGGGTCAACATCTCCCTCTCAGCATCGAGCATCGCGGTCTGCTCTCGGAACATCCCCTCGGAGCGTTCCAGAGCGACCTTCAATTTCCGCGAGCTCGCGGTCAGCGCCGCCTTCTCCCGCTCGAGCTCTTCAACATGGGCAGAATCCCCTCCATCCTCGGATAGCACCAAAGCCATTTCGGCCATTTTTACCAGCCCATCCACGCTGGCGGCCAGATACGCCTTCCTTTCCTCTTTACTCATCTTTTTTATGGCCTCAGCTTCATGGGCAACCACTGTCGGGGGGAATCGCTCGAAAAAGCCCGCCTCTTCGAAACAAGGGGGGAAGGCGAAAGATCTAACAGCGCCGGCGTCCTCGCCGACAGTCGGACCACCTTCCACACGGGTCCTCTTCCTCTGCGTCAAAACGGCACTGGGGTCGATCTCCTCGACCTCTGGATCCGACGCGGGTCCCGAGCTCGACGGCGAGTCCACCCTCACCGGCTGAGGAACATTTGGACCGGGTGGGGGACCCATCCTCGTCGCCTGTGGGGCCTTCACGACCCTCCTGCCCCGCCTCTGGTCGCAGGATAATTTCAAGAGCCTTTCATGTCAGCTAGCCATCGTACCTGCACGAAATAAAGGAAAAGTCAGTATCGAGCAAACTTCATGAGTAAATGACGAATAAAGAATTTCAAGCAAACAACCTAACAGGCGGGCAGCCTGCCTGTAAGTCGGACACTCCACCAGCGCCTTGGTGTCGATCGGACGGGACTCGAACGTCGGGTAACCATCTTTGTCCAGGATATCGTCCCCTTCCCGCGTAACCCATCGGGTGGGATGGAAACTGTCGACAAACCGGCAAAGAGCGTCGTACGCCTGCTCATCTTCCGAGCACATGTCCCCGATGGCGGTATGGTAATAACCGGTCCCATGCTCGTAATGTCGGGACATCCAGTACACCAGGATTTTAGCCCTACGACCCAACACAGGGCTCCCATCGTCGCTCATCATCGTTTCCCCATCATCGTCGCTCACTGGCCCCTCCTCCTCGAAAAGGGAATTTAAAGCAGCGTCGGTAACTGGCCGTACCACGTACCACTTGTCTTTAAACCCCCTCACGGAGTCCATATACATCTTAAAGAGTCTCCTCGACTGCTTTAGGGAGACCCAGCTATGTTTCCCTCCTCGGGACTGACGCTGCAGGTGAAATACCCGGAAGAAAAGAGGGATGGTCGCCCCGATCCTCAGGTAGCGACACGTCAACTCAAACGCCCGGATGAAGGCGAGAGAGTTTGGGTGTAGCTGGGACGGGGCCAGCTCCAAGTGCATAAAGACCCCGGCCTGAAAATCAGTGAATGGCAGCCGCAACCCTAGGTCTTTGAACGCGATCTCATACATCGCGAGGCTGTAATTCGGATAGACCGAGCAAATCCTTGCCCGGGTTGACGGAACCATAACTACAAAGTTTTTCTGGAAGCCGGGCTGGTCTTGACCCTCTTCAACGACATCGAATGGATGTCGGTCGTCCTGGCTGTATACTGACGCTATCCCCCGCGGCTCGACGCCCACCCATTCCAGCAAAGGGTCGGTCACGGTATCAATCAGGGTGACCGACTCGTCGGCACTCTGTTCGTCACGGTCGCGGCGTCCGGAAGAGCTCGGCTCGTCCGCCATGGTTACCTGCAGAGCACGGGAAACCAGTCAGTTGAGCACGAAGTCCTACGCTCGACAAAATCATGTCGTCCCATACACGACTACATAAGTCCATTTTCCACAAATGGTTGCCTCCCCGATGTCCTGAACCCGGTGTTCTTCCTCAAACCAACTGCGCGGCCACTCTACAAGCATGTCGACCCGAGGTATGAACATGGCGAGCCGCACCATGAAGCCCACGGCCAAGACCATGAACATACCGGGCGCGATCATGAATCAGGCGCCCTGGATCATGAAGACCCCGGGCAGCTCTGAAGTTTATCACCTAAACTATGAATGTGCCGGCCACAAACATGCGTTTGCCGGTCCTAGACATGAATGTGTCGGGCTACGCATGAGTTTACAGGGCTAATCCCACGCGCACGGTCCTAAAACATCTACAAACGCCAGAAATCATGCATTCTAAGCAGAAAAGTGAAGAAGATAGATCACTTACTTGGATCAAAGAGTGAGATTTGGCTACGAAATGGAAGAATCTGTAACGGAAAGTCACAACGGGAGAAAGTCTGGGAGAGCAGCAGCAGAGAGAGCAGAGAGAGCACAGAGAGCAGAAAACGTATTATGGGGCCCAAGGTTCCTATTTATAGTGATGACGTGGAATACCAAACGTCACCTCGGGCAACCACGGACTCCATCTCCTCGACGCGCTAGTCCCAACGCAATGATGACCCTACCCCCATAGGGTGGCGGCACAGTTCCCGAAAGATACCTCGTGTGCTCGACCGACGCGCCCGGTAAGGATCCTCCGCGCATCCACCACCGAGGAAGTCTCCGAGCACGACATGGGGAGGCCCCTCGAGGGCCCACACCTCTATCCCGGGCACGAGACCTCAACGAGGGAATAACTTGGGCTCAAGTCATGGCTCCTCGCAAAGGAACCACGACTTGGGGGGCTCCTGTTCTGGACTGGGCCCGACAGGCCCAAAAGCATTGCTGAGGCCCAGTCCAAAGGGACTTACTGAGGACCACGCCGAGCAAAGGGGTCACATCCGTGCCCGACATCCTGATGTCCAGCTCGACATCCCACTGTCCAACTCCAAGTGATGATGTCCAGCTCCACCTCCTGACGTCCAGCTCGACATCCTGCCGTTCAGTTCCACGTCCTGACGTCCAGCTCGACACCCCGCTGTCTAGCTCGACGTTCTGACGTCCAGCTCGACACCCTACTGTCCAGCTCGATGTTGTCTCGAGCATCCCAACTAGGGCAGACTCAGTCCACCGTTCCCCAACGATACTCCGGAAAGACCGCGTCTTCATCCGCCCGCACTTCACGCAGCACATCCAGGAAGGGGACCACGTGCGGGTCCCCACTACCCACGTAGAACCTGGCAGTTCCTCCATTGGGCCAAATCCGCCCGGCCCAATGAAGGGACCTTGGCCCAGCGCTGGGGGCTATAAATACCCTCTGTTTCCAGAGGGTCAGGTATTCATCATTCTAACCTCAACTTACTATTATCTGCTCGTACTCCTACTTACTTTAGCATCGGAGTGCCTTGCAGGTACCCCCCCCCCCCCCCCCCACCTCGTTCAAAAAAGCTTTCTGCTCGGAGTCAGCCGTGACGGTCCATTTCTGATCAGGTCAGATCAAGTACTATATCATTAAAATACTGAACAGTATATTCGTTACAATTAAATTTCATTTTACTTAATTACTCACTTAATTATAATTATTAAGAATTTTAAATACATTATAGTATTAATTTCATGATTGAAATTAATTCAATAGTACTAATATCATTCGTTAGAAATGAACTAAAGTCATTCAAAAAATATAACATAATTATGTATTAAAATTAAAAATGCAGGCTGTGGGGTTCGAACCCACGCGCATTGAAATGCAGAAGATCTTAAGTCTTCCCCCTTAACCTCTCGGGCAAACCTGCTTATATTGTTAGCTTTTAATTTAAACTTTTTATTACCAATGTAAGTCTTTGAAAAGGGTGGAAACTCGAGTTATTGATTATTAATAGATTCTCTATATATCCAAGGAAACCAAGAGGAAAATAAGTATTCAAACTTCCCAGTAAAATACATATATACACATAAATCACACCTAAACCAAAGAGTAATAGGATTACGAAAAACCTAAGAACTTAGATAAAAACAAACTAAGATTACTACTAGTACTAATTTACAAGGCAGCAAATGCATCATCCACCCATCTCTTGTGCTGAACAGTCCCCTCACCGCCATCGCCACTATCCTTTGAAGATCCTCTAAATATGCCTCCAACAGCAGCTCGCACCTTGTTCATCCTTTTCCGGTGACGAATCCGTCGAAGAATCACTTCTTTGTTAAGATTCTTACAGTTCTCAATAGGTTTCATCGTCAACTGACTCGTCACACTTATCACTGACTCTTCATCTTCCTCGGCACCAACCTCGGGTTGGTTTTCATTTGAAACAAGGTTCCGTTTCGTTGCCTTGTTGTTGTTGTTGTTGGAAGAAGACATGTTTTCTCGTTTGTTTGTTTGTGTATCAAAAGTAATGCGGAAACTGTTTCGGATTTTAGAGTTAAAAGAATGAGTGAGAGCATCTGCATAAGTTGAAAAGAAGGGACTACTTTTATAAGTGGTGAAAGAATATTTTGATTCTTAATTATCCATCATTTTTTATATGTACAGTTACGGATTCTTATTTGCAGTTTGAAAAAGGTCGGTGAGGCACAATGTACGATGTGTCTTAAACACCGACAGTAGTAAATAATTGTTTTTTTGTTCAGGGAAATATGAATGAGTGATATGTTCATTTGTTCAAAATAAATTTATAAATATTTTAGAAAATTGTCCATTGTACCTTAAATATTTAGCCAAAATTTTATTTTATTTTATATTGTCTTTTTGGTATAATATACAATTTGGGGATTTTTGCCCCTGCCTACCGTCTGCCGAAAATAAATTCCTAAAATTTCATCTTTTAAATAAAATTGTCTCAAATACTATTGTTTTAAATTGGGTGAGTGTTTATGCACGACCCAATCTATTTCTGTTTTAAAATAGTTTAAAAATATTGGTCCAATTAATGTGAATTAGCGAAAGACACTCTTTTTCTGTTTTCTGATAGTTTTAGTCATGTGTCCGCGTGACCCCATAGACATCTAGGCTATGCTTGCCGTGACCACGTCCCTGTTTGTAGAAATGACTAGTTTCGGGCATCTCTGTCTGAAATAACGGCTAGTTTCGAGCATATCCTCCCAGGATGCCACGTACGAGTTATCCGTTCCTAACAGTTACTTATTTTTGGAGGCTTAATATCCAGGCCCAAAAATAGAGACCAATGGCCAAGCGTCGAAGGCATTATATAAATTCTCACACTTGTGATGGCCGGGTATCCAATATTATACTCTAAAATCTTATATTCTCTCTTGTATCTCTTTGCACTATTACTTACTTGAGCATCAGAGTGTCTTGCAGGCACACCCCCTACTCCTTGATTCCAGCATTGTAGACACAGACATCGCCCTATTACAGGTTCTGGTCACCGATAAGATCAGTGGTCCCGTCTGTGGGAAATCTGTTTTCCCCGTCTTTCTTTCTCGGGAAACTAAAGATCAAAACAACGTTTCAAGATTCATACCATGGTCGATCAAGATAACAACTACCTTACTGGAAAAACCATCTTATCCTCTATCTGCAAGACTGGCGACATCAGAGATATGTATAACACCCTTCTAACCCAACAAATATTTCACATATAACTTACAAAAATAATTTAAATAAAATCACCAAACAGGGTGTCACATCTTCATATATGCATCATGTAATAAACATCCTGTTCCGTAACACTGGTTTTCAAAATCATTTATAACAAATACTTCATTGAAGATAACAATAACACTTCAAATACTCGCAACAAAATTAATAGTTTCAAAACATTTTTATTAATAAATTTCATAGAACTTCATCATACTTCGTCGTTCATGAATCATAATTTAAAACAACATAATTACACGAAAGGTAGTTCAAAATTTCAAAATAAAAAAAAGGACATAATTATTCCGAACAAACGATCTCAATCCTCATGTTACGTATCAGAGCAAGACCCACTTTATTCAACAGGAAATAAATAACACACTCTGAAGCTATCTTCTAAGCTTTAATGAACTATTCCTGATCACCTGCAAGTTACCCACGTATCGAGGCAACATTTCCAAGCATAAAGGGTGAGTAATCGCAAATCATTATAAAAGATATAAGGAATATGTACAGTAGTTAGAGCATATTAACATGAAACCACTTATCGTCATACATAATATATTATACTCACTCTTTCACATCATTAATTTATTCACAACATCATCATATAATTTAATTAACAATCATCACCAAGACATCATTAAGTCACACATTATCAAAACATCACTTAATCAATCATCATGCAATGCCACAAAGAATGTAATGCAACATTATTAACTCATACATGTAGTACTAAAACTTCACTGATGATCTAGTCATCTTTCTCCAAAAATCCCCACCATAGGATTGATTCCCGCTCGGAACCGGAGTACTTCACAATATTGCACTCAATCAATACCATGGGATTAAAGCTATCACTGGACCAACATCCTATCAACATCAATGGACCAATCGTCCTAACAACATCACCGGACCAATGTCCTAACATATGCCATGAATGCATGATGCACAACAACACAATAAAACATGATCACTGCTAGTCAAAATGCATCATCATTCGTGTAATATTCATGATATCAATACATACTTCATAATACATACATCATAATCATCATAAAAACATCAATTCATCTTAAGAAACATACATCATGTTATATCAACGCATATTCACATCACTTTATCATAGTAAAATAAATGGAGGAATACATCATATGACTCATCTTATTTCACCAAAGTATAGTACATCATGTTATCTTTCTAACGCTTCGAATGACGCATCAAACAAAGTCCGAAAACTTAAATTATGACCCTTACAAAACCTGTCAGATGTCCCTCTCCTGAGGCGTGCCCGATGAAACAGTTTGCTCCCGAGGCTCGCCCGTTGAGGCTGAGGCAAAACACCTTCCCCCATACAAAATTCCAGGAGCACCTATTTTCCATCACATCATTCGCCCCGCAATCTCTTTATTCGCCCAGCAAGGTCACCCTCGCTTCTGCTTCACCCGACGAAGCTGGAGCAAGATGCCTCCTTCATACATTTTCCATAAATTTTCCAAAACCCATCTCTCTCTCGCGCGTCACTCTCGCCTGTAGAATTCTGGGAGAAGTTGTTTCACCTGACGAGTGCGTAAAAACCGTAACTCTGTTGTTGTGTTTTCTGCACAGGACCAGTCCAATTCTCTTGAGATTTTAAATCGGTATAGCTCCTAATTCATCACAAATTCTCATGTTTTCATCATACAATAAAAACACATTATAACGGACATCATATGCATCAATTCATAACATCACAACATCAACATATCACCAATTTATTTATTTATTTCAGCATAATCATCATGTCATCAACTTTAGAAGGATCCACCATAATCCCACCACTAGAAATCATATGGCCAAGGAAAATAACTTCATTCAACCAGAACTCAGACTTTGACAACTTTGCATATATCTTTTTTTCTTTTAACACTTGCAACATGATTCGCAAATACTTAGCTTGTTCTTCTTCTAATTTGGAATAGATCAAAATATAGTCAATGAAGACCACAACAAACTTATCCAGATATGAATGGAAGTTCGATTCATATACTCCATGAAAGCACCTGGCGCATTAGATACACCAAACGACATCACAGTGTACTCATAATGACCATACCTTATTCAAAAATCCGTCTTTGGAATATCGTCTGATTTAACACGAATCTGATGATAGCTCGACCTCAAATCAATCTGGCTGATAACACAAGACCCCGCTAATTGATCCATTAAATCATTGATCCTCGAGAGTGGATACTTATTCTTAATAGTCTCTTTATTCAACTGTTGGTAGTCCACACACAATCTCACACTCCCATCTTTCTTCTTAACCAACAACACAAGTGCATCCCACAGAGAAACACTCGGTCAAACAAACTTTTTGTCAAGCATTTCTTCCAGTTGTTTCTTCAACTCACTCAGCTCTGAAGCTGGAATTCTGTAAGGAGTCATTGACACCAGACTTGTACCTGGTACTAGGTCGATGGAAAACTCTATTTCATGTTATGGAGGTAAATCACTTATATCATCTGGAAACACATATGGAAATTCACAAACAACATGTAGTTCAACACTTGCAGCTTCATGATCAATTTGCAACGACACAAACATTGCAAATAGCAAGTCTTCATCTTCCAGAAGTTCATCCACTTGCTTAGCAGACACCAAAATCATTTCTCCATTATCACCAAACTTAGGGCACCTCAAAGTTTTATTATAACAATTGATATGAACATAGTTGAACTCCAACCAGTTCATCCTAAGGATAACATCAATTTGATGTAAGGGTAGACCCACAAAATCCATCATAAAACTCTTGCCAAAGATAGTTAAAGGACATCTCGAACAAACATATGTAGTAATAACAAAACCACTAGCACGAGTATCTATTACCATACTACAATTCATATCAGACAACTTCAATCCCAACATATTAGCAGATTCACGCAAAATAAACGAATAAGTAGTAACAGTATCAATAATAGAAATCAATTCAACATTGTTAATAAAAAAAGTACCTCGAATGGAGTTGTCCTTATTGGAATTCTTGAATCCACTCAAAGCGAACACTCTATCATTAGTATGTGCATCATCATCCTTCTTTGGCTTCTGACACTAGGTACTAATATTTGATTGTTCTCCATAGTTGAAGCAAGTTGGACCATCGTTCTTGCACTTAGGAGCACGATGTCCTGTCTTACCACATTTTATAATATCTCATAACCTTATTCTCACATTTATTAGAACAGTGACCTTGTTCACCACACCTATAACACTTGACAGGAGCGGGAGCCCCTCCCCCACTTGTCTTCTTCCTATCAAAAACCTTCTATTTCCCTTTATCAGCTGGAGCATCATAAGGCTTCCTACGGTCCTAATGTTGTTTTCTTCTCTTCTTATTCAGACTCTTGTAGTGAACTGAATGAGGTTGTTATCTTATTCATAGATTCTACAGTTGTTCACCAACTCTAGAAACCTACAAATCTGCTGATATCCAATTGCTCGTTTGATTTTCTAACGCAAACTATTCTCAAACTTGATACACTTCGAGAATTTAGTAGTCGCTTAACTGTAATATGGATAATATTTTTCCAGTTCCACGAACCTCGAAGCATACTCAGTCATTGAAAGATTCCCTTGTTTCAACTCAAGGAATTCTATCTCCTTCTTCCCGCGCACATTTTCAAGAAAATACTTCCTCATAAATTCCATGCTAAACACAACCCAAGTGATAACTTCACCCACTGCTACCAATCTTTGACAGGTGCCAACCCACCAGTCATCAG